CATCAGTAGTCACATGATTTTCACCATCAGTAGTCACATGATTTTCAGTGCCACAGGACAAGCCCCAAACAGTGCACGCTTTACAGTATAGTTTCATTTCTGCAGAAAAGTGGTACTTCATGGAAACCAGTACCATTATTGTGTCCCCAGGTACATACTGTGTAATCGAATAATTCACGATTACTCTGAATTCAACAATTATGTTGTTACAAGACACAGTCTTCTAAACTACGCTGACTCTGATGCTTCACCTCAAAGGTGACAACAGGAACCGACATTAATTTCAAAGGAGATAAAAGCTTAATGACATCTGATGCCTCCGTAGACATTTCTTTCTTGGCTTTAAAGTACTTTGAGGCAGGGAAATAGAGGAGATTCAGTTTGAAGAGAAAGCAAAAATTGTGAACTGAATTTATATCTTCCCTGTTAGTAGTTTTTATTAACTCACTTAAATACTGTAGCTAATAGATCACAAAATCCTAGATAGTTTCATAAATGAAAATATAGTTACTATATAAGTTTTTTCTATGCCATTCAAGGTACGTGCTATCTTTATAACTGATTTCTTCAGACTATGGATAATTTAACTTTTTAATGTCTTATTTAGTAAACCAGGGTTTTCTGACTTTCATTGTTTTGTATCCAGTTCTCCACATCCCTAGTTGCTAGCTGCATAGTCTATCATCTGATAGAGGAAGCAGAAGCCCCTGCATGTCACCGGTGTGGGGACTGCTGTTCTGTGAAAATGGGAGGTGGAGGCTCTAACTACTGTTTCTGTGACAATGCAGTATCTACTGCTGCATCCAAGGGAAGTTGATCTAGGTGGTAGATCATCTTAGCTGTATCAGTTTCTCTGTGAATCTGTTGAGACTATTTTTTTCCTTTTCCTTTTTTTTTTTTTGTGGTACTCAAGGTTGAATCTACGTCCTGGTATTTGCTAGCTAAGTTCTCTATGACTGAGCAATGTCCCAGCCTTCTTTTAACTTTGTATTTAGAGACATAGCCTTACTTTGTTGCCCAGGCTAGCTTTGAACTTGCCGATCCTCCTGCAATAGGTGGGATATTGGCTCATGCAATCATACTTGACAGAACCTTTAAATTTTTTGTAATAAATACCTCTGGTTATAAAATTTCATTGTTCTTTGGAAACAGGTCAGAATTTACACCTGTAAACTCTGGGGATCTCTGCTTTTGCCCAAAGTCTCTTGGCTGCTTTCTAGGCTTTGGTGTGAATAGATGCTTTAGAATATCATCCCACAAAAATAGCCATGACCTTTTATTTGACCAGAGTGGAGCTGGGGAGCACCACCATTTACAAGGCTCTACAGAGGGCTCTTTGTTATATATTGAGGAAGAAAGTATGTTAACACACACACACACACACACACACACACATAAACACACACATAAACACACACATATTCAACATTTTTGGTAAATATATATATAAAGTTCTTATGTAACCTTTGTTCTCTATTTTTGAACTCTTTTGAGAAAAATAATGAATGTCCTAAATTAGAATTTGAGAATATTGTGACATGTCAGTTTATACTCCACCAGACAACAGGAAGCTCACCTGTCTTTTGTACAGAGTAGATTAAAGACATGTGATCACATTTCTACAAAACAGGTTGCTCTACAAAACAGTGTGCAGTGTAGGTTGCTCAAATGGAACAGCCATGACATACAAAGCCATTCCTGTAAAGGAAGCCCTTGACCTCAGCTGTAAGTTGAAAGTATGTGGTGAGGTTAGTAAGCCGTACCTAAAGCATGGTAACACATAAAACTTTTAGCACAATTCATGGACCCTGAACATTAACTTTCATGAGCTTATTAAGATATTTTATGGATGTCACCAATTTTTACTAAGCATTTCTTGTTGGAGCTATGCCATTGCCATTGTTGATGTCAGATGATATTGGACTGGATAAAATAGATGAAAGTTTTCGGCTTCCTGGGGTTTAAACATTAATAAAGGAAGAAGGAGACAGATAAGAAACAAAGCAAATAAGTGAAATAAATAGTATGTTAGATGTAAGTGCAAAAGGAAAAAATGGTGTATGTCTGTGTGTGTGCGAGCATGTGTGCGCATGTTTGTGTGTGAATGTGTGTGTGTGCGCGTGTTCAACTTTCAGAGGGGATATCTACATAAGGGTTTCCTTAGAAGTTATATTTAACTAAACATCTGAAAAAAGAATTAGCCAGGTTAATATATGGAGAGAAAGTTTTAGGCATGGCAAAGAATATGGCAGGTATAGTGGCTCACCCAACATTACCTGCTGAACAGGAGACAGGCTTTCTCCTAATCTGTCAGCTGCTCAAGCCGCATGAAATTCTTTTGCTTATGCAATGAACGTTTTCTGCTGTCATTGACTCCTTTAAGCTTCTGCCTTGTATTATTCTGTAGCTTCAGCCATAGAGAAAATCTGGCTCATATGTAAGCCACAGGGTAAAGCCAATGTGTTCAGTGACCCAAGAATCACACAGCTCAGAGATGTAAGGGCAATTTCCTTTCTGCCACAGTGCAATAATCTAGTAGATTTGATTCCAGGCAGCCAGTTCACCATTATTCACAGTTATGGGATCCTCTATGCCAGTGGGTCTCACAGACTTCCGACTCCTGAATTTCAACTTCATTGATTACTTTTTCTTCGTCTTCTGTTGAGTTTTTCAGTTGCATTTTTCTTAAAACTCTCTGAATCTGTGTTTAGCCAGGCTGTTGGTCACAAATATCAGCTATCTCTTGCATGAAGCCCATCCCACAAAATCAAGCCTTCCAGCACAAATGGAACCCCAGTCCACTAGTCACATGTAATATCCATTGTATTCTGTTATACTATACACCACAGTTCACTCTGACTTTCACTGAACATTTTAATCATTTTCCCTTCTCCATGACTATAGTTGCAACATCATCATCTTTCTTTTGAGACATTTTAAGAAGATTTATGAACATTGTTAGTCTCCAATATAACAGCATTCATAGAACAGACATGTCGCCAGTTGGGGCTTTGAGGTCTTGCTACTCCTGTGTCCACTCTGAGATGAAATGGCACATCCTCAGCAGGTCATATCCTAACAACAAGTTACAAGGACTAGAGAAGGTGACCTGCATGTTTCTAGATCTTTCTGTTCTATGATCCTTGAAAAGAAGACCATGTTTTATGGGAAGTTATGAAACTGGTAGGAGGAGGTCAGTGCAGACTCAGATGGCTGAAAAGCAGCTGTACTTCAACCAGCGCCTTGAGGAAATGGCTTTGAAGCTTTATAATGCAGTTGAAGGGGCAGCTAATGTGTTTTTCTTCCTGTCACCAATGTCCAGCACTAAACAGAAGAAAAGGCATTTTGAGAATGTTGAGATGGGCCTATATCTTGTTCTTTGGTTTTATTTTTAGAGAAGGTCCACAACTTCAGCTGCATATTGGTATGACAAAGAGCTTTCAGAAGTGCTAGTGCTCATGTCCCAGCCCAGAGATTTTGATACTGGTCTGGATGTCACCTAGGAATCTTGACGACTGACCTAGTGACTCTGATGTTTAGTGAAACATCAGCACTCTCTGGCTCAATCTCTCTCTTGCTGCTTTCTAGTCTTGTGTAGGGCAAATTCTCCTTTCCAAATGACTCTTTAGAAAAGATGTGCTGTGGGAAAATGAGAATGTGTTATTATATTATTATTATTATGATGATTATTATTTTGATGGATGGATGGATGTTTGGATGAACAGATGGATGGATGGACAGATGGATGAAAGAGATTCCTAGATCTCTCAGAAGACTGAATTTAGGGCCCTAATTACATCCCTGGGAGAAACTGATCCTGATCACATTAAAGGATTGTTCTCCACCTTGTCACCACAGCATCCTCTTTAGGACCCAGGGAAACAAAAGATCAAGACACACACAGCTCTCAGTGTTGATCTCTGCCACAGCTGCACAGTGGCAGATAGGTATTGAGGTCGGCATCTGCCTGAATTTTCTTTTAGTGATGCTGCTGGGTTCCAGGACTGAATGATAATATAGTAATGAAATCTCAGCTGCATATTTCTTTGTTCCTTGTGGCTGCGAATTTCGTAGTGATGAAAATCACAGAAAGAAAGGAAGATCACCAGGCAGGGCTCTCATTCCTTCTGCAAATCCCCAGGATTAGAGGATGTGAAGTGAATAATGATAGCTCTTGTGTTAGCCGTTTGCGATTCCACCCGCTCCCACCATCCTTGGCTTTGTAGTTTCAGTCCTGCTCTGCTGACATGCCTAGAGTCCAGCTCCTCATGTGTCCAGCTTTCTGTGAGACCCTGAGCAAGGAAAGAAAGAAAACAGTGTTGGGAGCACTCTGAAACTGGCTCTAAACATTCCAGGTGTTCTTGCAAGCTTTTATTTGCAAGCTCCCCCTTTCTGTGTCTACAAACCTTCCCTCCAGCCTCAAGCACACTTGATCAAACATACAAGGAGTTAGAGACATACAGCTCTTTTGTTGGGTCCACTCATGACCTTAAGTGAAATATATTCAACGTGTTCTGCAGAGGGTTTCAGACTATTTCCCATGTTTTACAGTAGGAATTGTGGTTGTTTAAAATATGAGCCAACCCAACCTCAACTCAACTCAAGAATTTGTCTCTTTCTGCCACAGTGCAAAGGGAATGGCCTCTGCATTGCTTGGGAATCCTTTCGGCTTATCCCATTCTCATCATTTACAGGGCTATGTTTTGTTGAGCTCTGAGTCTTTCTTTGTCTGTGTCATTCATTTTGAGTGGGTCTTGGCAGAACTGAGTTCTTAGCTTTGAGGGTGTTGGGTGGTTTAGATAATGGGCTGTTAAAGGACCTTGCTTTGTAAGATGCTCTGGTACAGAGTCATACTTACACTTTCCAGACAGTCAGTCATACTGTATTTTGAGCTGTGATTCATTATGTTTGAAAGACACTACATTTTTTACAAGTGGATTTGCTGCAGTTTTGCACTGAAAAAGCTTATCAGCTCATTTTTCCCATGGCATGTGCTCACATTGTGTCTCTGAGGCATATTTTATTAATTCTCACAATATTTTAAGTTTGATGACTATGTTGTCATTGTATGTGGTGACCCCTGATATTTGATGTTAGTATTCTCATTGTTTTGATGACACCAGAAACTCACGCAACCTGTGAATATGTGTATTCTGAACTATTCACTAACTGGCTGTTACTCAGGTCTCTTCTGCTTGGGTTTTGCTAGGGTTTTCCCTGACACACATCGGTATCAAAAGTAGGTTAATTGAAGCCTTACAATAGTCCCCAAGTGCTCAGGCAAAAGGAAGAGTTGCATGTCTGTCCCTTCAGATCAAAGCTGGGGATGATGAATCTCAGGGAAAAAGGCACAGAGACAGACAGTCGGAGAGCAAGGCCTCCCACTCTAATCAGCTGGCTAAGTTACAAAGGAAAGGTTGTTGAAGAAAATCGAGGTGCTACTCCGGTAAATACACAAGTGGGAAGAAAGTGAGGCAGACTTGCTGCTGATAATGGAGAAAGCTTTAGTGGTCTGAATAAAAGATAAACTAACCAGAACATTCCTGTATGCTAAAGCCCAATCAAGGGCAAAATCCTAACTCTCTTCAGTTAAGGATCTTGAGAAGAGTATGTCCTGGGTATAACCTGGTGGGCCCAAATCCAGTGGCAAATGTTTTAAGATGAGAAGACCAACGGATGGGTACACATGGGTGAAGACAACATAAGACATGGGTACCTATTGCTATGCTCTCTTTCACAAGCCAGAGGATGTAGGGAACTGCTCAAAGTGAGAAGGGACAAGGACCTTGAACTCCAAAGGGACTGTGGCCCTACTTTGCTCCAAACTTTTGTCTTCTTGACTAATGTTAATGTGAATTTGTTGTTTCCAGTTGCTAAGTTGGAGTCATTTGTTACAGCTATCACAGGGTATCAACGGTTTCCTTTTTAAAGATATCTTATTTCATGTTTCTTCATGGCAAGAAGATGAATTCCCCAGGTAGATGAGGTGCCTGTCCTCTGTATATCAGTGGTACCCATATGCCTGTCTCATACTGTATGAGCAATTATTTTATGACACCAAGGACTGTGACTATAGGTTTGTCCTTCCTATGAATTTCCTCCAAAACTGTCTCTAATTCTTATTCCATCCTCAAGAACCCTTGCCTGGCTACTATTTAGTACCTGTGACAGCAACTGGCTTGTCTGGATTTTTATCTGCAAACTCCTGTTCTCCTTTGACATATGTTCCCAGACTGCTGTTATTCCTAAAGTATTATTTATGTGGGACTCTTAGTTGCCCCATCTCTAGCTTTCAAGTTCTCAGCCTCCAAAGTACTTCCCTCTCTTCAGAACTGCCAAAGGACATGATTGACTCTTGTGTTCAGGGATGTCCTTCTCTTCATCAGTTAAACACTTAGCTATCTAGTCAGTCTTTGCTCTGGGGCCTTCTCACCCACACAGCTGTACAAGTTTGGCTTTCTATGCCCACCTTTGCCCTGAATAATAACATAGAGACTTTTATATTTATTAAAAGCTTCAGGCACTATAGCTGGGAAAATTCTGAGCTATTCTAATCTGACAATGCTGGCCTGGCCTACTTCCCAGCCATGTGGTCATTTCCTGCCATCCTAGTCTTGCCCTGACCTCCTTCTTCATCCATGTCCCAATGGTGACTCCTTTCTCCTGCCAAGCGATTGGCTGTTCAGGTCTTTATTTAACCAATCAGAAGATGACGTAGAACAATGTTTATAGAATATTGAGTCAGAAGATGCTACATAATAATGATAATACCAAAGTCCAGACTGCAACCAGACCTCTGGGCACAAAAATCAGCATTTGATACAAAGTGCACAAAAACATCCTCCAACATCTAGCAGGAAAGGTATGTCCTTCCCAGCATCCCTGTGTCTGGTATGTGCGCTTTTGAGGTCAAGTGCAAGCTCTTTTTCATCTTTGTGTCTCCTTCAGAGCCTGATTCTCTAATGGGTGTTATTCATTGTTAATTGACTATCTTAAACACATTAATGTATGTGAGATAAGTAGGGAGATATAGCAGTCCCTGATGGCATAGGTGTTCTTTTTAATTTTTTAAAATCCTATGATGTTTATATTGCCTTGTTCTTATAGGACTTTGTGAAATACATTCAGAATCAAAGAGCTATCTCTTTGGTATTATCCACAGGGTTCAGATAGAACAACCTCCTACTAATAAGTAATATGAGACTTGTTTCTGTGGAATGGTACCATCCCCGAATGTTCTGGTGGGATGTTCTTTGGCGACAGGTTGAGTAACCAGTTTGGCAACTGGATCATATCTGGACTAAGGGAGAAGTGAAAGCAGTTAATGAGCAGAGGGGCAGTGCAGAGAGCCTGGGGCCACTGGTCTATGAGAAGACACAGAGGCTAGACACTGTGCTGTGTGAGGTGTCCAGGGAAAGATATGCCTTGACCATCTAAAAGCTGTGTGAGGTACTGGCATTGCTTTGCTTCTGAAAGCCTTGAAATTGGTTATGATTTTAGAAGTAATTCTAATAGTGGTTCATAGCACCCGTCAATACTGTGTGCCCTCTAATGACATCAAGGAGTTGGAAACGAGAGAGAAATTTTGTCTCAGAATTGTCAGCACCCTTAGAACTTCATAGCATTCTTTGCCTCTCAATGAAGAAAGTAGTTTTAAAAAAAAATAGCAATTTTAAAAAACTTGATTGTAACTAGGTAGATTTAGAAAGCTTAGTCTCCAGAAGTTTTCCCTGGATTGCCTTCTGGTGAAATCTCTAAGTGTCAGGGAGGAATGGTTTAGATTCTTACCTCATTTACTGGCTAACTCTGTAAATCTTAAGCAATTTGCTTAATTTCTCAAGATTTGCGATTCTATATCAGTGAAATGAAATCAAATAAAACTTTGTAAGTGTAAACAGTGCTGAAAATAAGGATCAGCGCAGCCACATAAACAGCAGCTGATATAAAGCGAGCTTTTGATAATCAGGCACTCTGGAGGATTTTTTTTTTCTGTCTAGAGGGGACAAACTTGTTCAATGAATATCTTAATTTCTTACAGGTTACTGAGAGATCCTGAGTTTATACACTCAGTATTGTGAGTCTGTTTCTCAGGGGATTCTTTGTATGATTTGATTGTTTACAGAGTAACGGGACCACTGAACACCAGGTAGAATCTTTCATACGGAAAAAGCTGGAGTCACTGTTGAAGGAGTCTCAGATTCGAGACAAAGAAGATCCAGACAGTTTCACAGTGAGGGCGTTACTCAAGGCTACACATGAAGGCTTAAATGCACACCTGAAGCAGGTAGACAACTCCTCTTGAACAAGGAAAAACAGAGCATGCCCTCCTCTTTAGTTTCTGAGCATTTTTCCTTTCTAGAATGCTTCTCAAACTTCTGTATTTGTCCTCATGAAGTTTTAGAAACAAATTCCTAGTACAGAGTAAGTGAGAATGTATGCTGTACCTTACTGCTTCTATGGGGCAAAGACATTCCAACTCAAGTCAGGTTCTATTTCAGATGGCACGAGACAGCTCTGCTGTGTACTGTTGGCCTGGTATTCTATTAAATGTGCCCAATTTCACTCTTAAATCATTCTAGTTGAGACAGTAAGTAACATAGTCCTCCTACTCATAGACAGGCTCTGAGAAGTACCAAGGAACTCATAGGTTAATTGACTCATTCTTTTGTTTATCAGATGAGAAAACTGAGACCAAGAGAAGGGTAGTGGCTTTGGTGGTAGTACTATTTCTCTTAGCTTAGGGAGATTAGTGTCAATCCTACGACCAGTGTCCAATGTATTTACCTTCCTAATGCCATAGGGTTTGAACAGCTAGTGATCAACGTTACTAGGTCTTCACAGGCAGCGCACACACATAAAGAAGGCAAGGATGAGTCAACAATCCTGTAAGCCCCAGCCTCTACCCCTCACTGGTTTTTGGATGGATTTTTCCACCAACCAGCTCCTGAGTTCTTTCCCTTCTCTCCCATGAGTCACACTTGTGATATCTGTCTGGCTTTAGCAGGTACTTCCAGCTTCTTTGAGTCTTGCTCATTCACTCTTGTTGTATTCATATGTTTCTCTATGTTTAGCCAGATGGCTTGGTGGGTGGGGTCTGCAGGTTTCCACACAATGGATTTTAGGGACAACAGCTGAAAAAGCATCCTAACCCCTTCAAACACTGGCATTTTTGCCCTCAGCCCCATACATGGGCTAGCACAAAAGGAGACTTGCTCATCGTCTGTACCTGAAAATTTCACCCACATGAGAAGCCTTCAAAGGCTAAAATGTCATTCCCTGATGCTTGGCACCAGGGCAATGGTTTCAATGCACAGATAAGCTGCACAGTGATTTCCCTAAGTGAATGAAAGTGATATGACTGGGTTTTATTTTTAATACTTTAAAACCCCAAACAGCAGTTTTCACTGTGAGGCTTTCCTGCATTTACCAGATGTGGCTCTTACCTACTTCTGGCTATTTTCCAAAATTAAAACTCTTCTTAGCTAGAAATGATTTCTCTCTACCCAGGATATTCAAAATACCACTTTCTGATTTTAGGCACATGGTAAATAGTAACTGAGGGCTGGCACAGCTGGCTGTTCTGTGAGCTGGACTCCAGCTTTGGGAAGCCTTGGACAGCTGCTGTGTCCTGGCATCCATGACAATATCCCTCTTCTGGCATCAGACACAGCCACGTTTGAAATATCAGAGGTGGGAAGTAGGAAGAAATGAAGCCAGGAAAGAGAGGATCACCTTGCTATCTGCCAGAGCTAAGCAGAACAAAAAGTCTTAAAGACCTTTCCATTATGCTTTTATTTATGCAGAACCTGGATGTGAAGGAAAGTGGAAAGAAGTCCCATGGGCGATCCCTGATGGCCAACTTTGGGAAACACAAGGTATACACTAAGAATGGTAAATGTGCATAATGCAGTTAATTTGAAGATCCTGTAGGTAACATGGCAGCAATGTATCGTGATGACCTTGGAATGGCTGAAGACGACTTTAGGACATCAAAAAGAGAAAAGTTTGAAATTTGAACAACTTTGAAATTTAGTACTGCTATTAATCAAAAGTATCAAAATTCAAGTTGTATTTTAGAAGTCTTTGAAATAAGCATATCCAACAAAAGACTATATTCTGAATTCTTGATCATTTCTATAAGTAAGATGTATAGTTTACATTTCTAAAAAACAAAATAAAGTCAAAAGCTTAAAAGTACTGATCACAAAAGAAGATAACACATGGCAGGGGAAAGAGACTCACCTTTGGAGGCATCTGGGAAGTGCAAATCAGTTATTCTATGATTCCATGGACACCATGATTGACATCATAGAAAGACCTCAGAACCCAAGCATTGGGATATGGAACGACATGTACATACTCTGCTGGGGTACAGAAACCACTGTGGTATACAGTGTGACAGTTTCTCCCTAGCAGCTCCACTCGTAGGTTTATGACAGAGATGGAAACAACAGTTGAACACACAATTGTAATGAATTAAGTAATCAACAATCCAAATGCTTATTAACTATAGAACCGATTAAAATCTATATTCACAGCTGGACTGTTGAACAGCCATGAAAAGGACACAGTTATATCTATGGGCAATGATATGATCTTTCAAACATTATTTGAGCTAAAGAAGTAAAACCCAGAGTGTGTGCACTCCGAGCATCTTTGTGTGAAATTCAAAGCTGTGTGAAAAAATGGTATCAGGTAGAAGTTATGATAGTGATTGAGGATAGTGATTACCTTTAAGGGGATGTAAGGACTAAGTGGGAAGAGCAGAAGGATTTTAGGGAGCAGGTACGATTCTACTTCCTTATTTGAGTGCTTCCACATTGTGGAAATCATCATTTTATACACTTGCACACCTAAAACTTTGTCCTTTTGCAAATATATGTGATACCCCAATAAAGGTATACAGGAAATCAATCCTGGCTCATCAGGTAAAGTGTTTCAGGGTACTCTCCTCAGATGTCCAAAGCATACTTTCCAGAAGCTTAGCCTTTGGAGGAGCTGCATGTTTGGTCCCGAGGCTTCCCACAGTGACGGGGGTCTCCAGTGTTTGTTTTGTTGGTTATTTTGGTTTGTTTGTTTTTGTTTTGTTTGTTACTTAAATAATGAGTGGTGTCCAGTATGGAGTTGAAACCACATCCCCCTCAAACACCTGTCCAGAAGACAGCAGATTAATTCTGGAGACTTTAGCTCATGTCCTATGAATAGCAATTTTTATTTTATGGTTCAAAGAGAAAATAGATCACAAACTGAAAACGGAGCAATCTGTTTAGATGATGGTCTGAGTGTGCGCTGCTGCTGTTCTGTTTTTAACTTAATACAAATCTGTCTTAAGAACCAAACTTGCCTTTTATCACTTATCAACAGTAAGCGTCTATACTTAAGGACATTTTTCCTTTAATTGTTTAAATAGATACTTTAATTTTGGTTCTCTCTTGTGGACAACTTCAAAGTACACAACTAAAATTTTCCTAAGATCTCAATTTTATGTGGCTTAGAAATTGGCTTCTGCACATGAGATTCTAAATTTTGCATTGCTGGTATAATATAAGGATGTCTATAGATTTGTCCTTTTTTTATTTAATGGTGAAACAAGTGGCTGATCATTCTTTCTGTGTGCACACCTTCTACCCCACCCCTACCCATGTGTGTGCATGTGTGTGTGCGTATATGTATGTGTGCATGTGAGAGTGTGTGTATGTTTAAAAAATCAATCTAATCTCTATATTGTGAATGTGCCTAATGAGGTGAGTTAGTAAGTTTACGGTGATTTTTTTTTCAGCAGAAAACTACAAAATCACGGTCTAAGTCCTACAGTACTGACGATGAGGAAGATATCCTTCAGAATCCTGGCAGGGAGGGAGGCCAGCTGTACAGGTAAGAAAGCACCTTCATGCTTATTGCCCAGACTCCCACAACCTCCCCCTTCCATTATCCTGGTTGCTTTAGTTGAGTATGCTTAGTTTAGTATGTGTGTGTCTAGAGAATGAGGCGTACATGGTAAGGTGTGGGAGGGAATTGTGAAGTTCAAGATAGCGATGCTATACGGAGCAAACGTGGCACCAGTGAGGTGCTGAATAAGTGCTAACTGCAGTAGGGGTCAGGGGAAAGGCGCCTTCAGAGAAGGGAGGCCTGTGCAGAGATGGACAGAGGACTGACAGAGGGGTTGACAGGTAGGATAACTTATAAGCTTAGAGCCAGACGAGGTCTTTACTCCTCCATTCACCATCGTTAATGCTGAACAAGGTAAGCTTTCCATCTCTTAAGGTCACAAAAGCATTAAAGGAATTCAGATCAGCATGGTAGGTTCCAACTCCATTAAAGACCTGGTCAAATATATTAGCTACCACTTCATTATTTTTGACAATTTTACACTAGTAAAATTCAATGTATTATGGTGATATCTTCCCATCCTTGCCTTCTCTCAGCCCTTTCCAACTCCTGCTCACTCCTTTCCTCCCAACATGGCCTCCTTATACTTTCATGTCTGTTTTTTTCCCCCATTGAGATTAATTGGGATTATTGACATGAGGATGAGTACTGGGTCATTTGCTGAATCTTGGGAGACTTGTCCGTCACTCCACCACTGAACAAAGGGATACTCCCTTTTTCCCAGAACCATTGAACTGCCGGTTACTCCTCAGGGAGAGGTAGAACCTCATGATCCCCTCCCTCGTCCATGATGGAATGCTGAAGGTCTAGTGCAGGTCTTGTGCTGATATCCATAACTGCTGTGTTTTTATAATTGCAATGGCCACCTCATAGCCAGAAGACAGTGCTTCATAACACTCCTCTGAATCTTCGGATTCTTACATTCTTTCTTCCCTGCCTTCCATCAGGTTCCCTAAGCCTTGGAGGGGGTGATAGAGATGTTTCATTCAGAGCAAAACACTTAACAGTCACTAATTCTCTGGTCTTAGAGTTGCAAGTCTTTCTATTAACTTCTGCCCGTTACATAAGGAAGCTTCTCTGCTCAAAGCTGGGAGCAGCAGTACTCTACGGTTACAAACATGAATAGTTAGATAGCAATTTGGCTACTTGTCTTGTTAGCAAAACAATAGTAGTAGTTTCCCTATAAGGTCTGTGACCTCCTCAGCTATCCAGCTTTTATTACATTTATAGTGCCAACATATATTCCCTTTCATGAAAGTCTTCAAACTCACTTAGGAAGCAACTGGCACGCTTGGTTACCCACACTTAATAACGCCACTACTGCACCAGTGAGCATATCTTGCCTAGTACAGGGTCCTTAGTTGGGTAAGATATTGATGTTTCTCCCACAGTGGCCTGCAGAGCATATGCTAGCACTGTGGAAGCTGCTCAGCAAGAAGGAAGCTTCCAGATAGTTTCTGCTTGATTTCTCCATGTCCTACAACCAGAATGTATGGTGTCTTCAGTAAGAGAGTCTGGAGAAAATCCTTGCCAGCTCTTCATGTGACAGAAAAATAATAGCTATAATATTCAGAGAAGTAAAGCAAGACTAAACACATGATCTGAAAATAGAGGGGGGATACTAGGTGTGTAAAGGACTCTGTTCCCCTTTTTAAGCTATTGTCAATAGTGTTCATGATGACTGTTTTCAGAGCCCAGTTGTGATCTATAGTGTGATCAGGACTCCCTGGCAGTCACAAAGGAACATAAACCATATTGTGAGTGGGTCGATAGGTATGGATGGACTGACAGAGAGACATACACGAGAGAATATGCATGCATGTGCATGCACACCCACACCCCCCACACACACCTTTGTTTCTTTACTGAATCGAGAAATTAAAGCCATAAAGGCCTTATAGAAATTCAGCATCAGTGTTCAAGAAGAGTTTTATTTGAGCTCTAATGGGATGTATATACATTATACACTTGTTATTATGGACAGAGAAGAAATGTACAGAAAATTTGAATATTAGTTACAGTAAAAGGTATAGGGGAGATAGGAACACCTTTCAGAAGATCCTTACTAACAATTTTTAAATCAAAGTGTCTGGCAGAAGCTAAGGAAGGGATAGATTGAAAGCCACATTATTTTTCACGCATTCAATGGGATGCCTTTACAGGTGTTGCATGAGATCAGGTGACACGCTGCTCTTGAGTTGGTTAGAGATTTGTCCCTAATACCTTTGAGAGCCTGAGCATGTCAGGTGCCTTGGGACTGGGTTAGTCCAATTCACTCTCGGGGTGAAGTGTAGAAAGGGATGATAGTCTAGAATGTCTCCATGCCCCCATGTCTTTGGGGGTTCTGCTTGTGAATTTTAAACATGATCTCACACTGACTCATAATCATCAGCCTTTCACAGGTCCACCAATGGCTACAGGGTTCTCCTAATTCTATAATAAAAGGATACACAACCATTCTTTCAACTCTTTTTATCCATGCTTGCATCAATGCCTCTTTGACAAAGTGAACCATGTAAGAAACACTTTGCTCGTAGTTCTTTGGTTGATTGGATATCTCATGTCACCACCAAGGTGAGGGTTTCTTTCTGATTTGTTCAGTTTTTCTCATTAATATCTAGTTCTCAAACATTTTCATCATCCCAAGAAAAATAATCTACCTAGCAGTAGTCACTGTCCTCTCCCTAATATACTTCCTATCTCTCTGTAGACTTTATACTTGTCAATATTTAACTTTAAAAATATTTGGCTTCTTCTTTTCAGTTTTGTGTTTTCAAGCTTCACTCCCATTGTAGCACATAAGTGTCCTCTCTTCGATTTTATTGCTGAACCACCAGCCATGTGGCTACTCTACATTTTATGTGTTCATTCAGTAGTTGGAAAACTTTTTGGTAGCTTTCACTCTATTGTTTTTTTTTTAAATATGTTGCCATGCATATTCAAGTACAGGATTTGCCATTGGTGTAGAATTGCTAAGGAACAATGTAACTCTTCACTTGACCAACTGCCAAAGGAACTGCACCAATTATGTATATGCTACGTATAAGGCTTTCACTCACCTGCCTTGTTAGTTATGGCTACCCTAATATATAAGTCATCATGCCTTCTTGTTCTGTTTGCACTTGGCTATTGACTAATGATGTTGCTCATCATCTTGTGTGCTTATTATTGAATGGCGTTGACAAGCTTTGATGAGTTTGATACGAGTTTGATAGTTAAATTTCCTCTAGAAGAGAAGTGTGTGTGTGTGTGTGTGTGTGTGTGTGTGTGCAATGATGTGGCCTGTGGACATTTTTCTGGGATAAAGAGTAGGGGTTGGAGATATAAGGATGTAGTGAAGGTTCTAAGAATGTTTTATAAGGAGAAAACCTAGAAGGAACCTAGGAAAATGGAATATTTTACATAATACAGATTTCATATAATGCAGTGCATATTTCATTCAAAGAATATCTAAAAATACTACTGATTATATTTCTAAAATACCACTGTGGAATATTTGATTTATTTTCTTTTAGGTATTTAAGTTTTGTGGCCCACATGTTTCTATACAAATTCAGTCTAGCTCTATTTCCTGGGATGACTCCTGAGCTGGGCAGCTGTAGAACAAAGGCTTTCACAAGAAGACTCTGAGAGACTGATTTCCAGTGAAGCCTGAACAAAATTGCAGTAGCAAGATGCTATAGACATAGGAGAAGTACCGAATGAGTAATCAGACCTGGGTTCCTGTCTTGCTTCCATTAAGTCCCAAGGAGGGTCACTTACTCATCCTTTTAAAAGGGAAGGTGACGCAACCAGAGGCTCACAACCCTTCCATCTCTAGACTCCTAACTTGAGTGTGTGTTCTTCAGGCTGGGCCGTCGAAGGAGGACCATGAAACTCTGCAGAGAGCTCTCGGACTTGGTGGTGTACACAAATTCCGTGGCAGCCCAGGATATTGTGGATGATGGTAAGGCCTGAGAATCTCTCACCCTGGTCCACGTGCTTGACTTTTCTATGTCATTGCTAGTTCATGTTTTCATTGATCCGATCATTCCTGATCTGCGGGACTGTATCCCATTTGTCAGGAAGATGATAGCTCACATGATTTGGAGCTCACATGCCTCACATGTGGGGCTTCGTTGATTATTGGTAGGTGCCTGATTGCCTAGAGGTTGCAAAAATTTTCTGTAGGGTGGAGGATTTTATTATGGTGAAAAGACAAAGGCATCAGAGCCAGGTCTCACTCCAGGACTCGAACTGTGGTGACCTGACCTACCTTCATAACCAGGTCACAGATGGCCCAGCCATTTCAAATGTAAATGACCAGAAGAAGGAGTAAGTTAATTAGCTACAACAATACCCTGGAGAGACTGTATTTTCTCATTAAATATTCTGACTTTGAATAAAGTGGTTTAACTCACTGGCTGAAATTTTAACAAAAAGAATAGATGTAGTTCATTGTCATTGGTTCTCATAGATTTTCCTTTGTTCTTTTTAAGCAGATTTATTTATTGTATGTGTATGAATATTTTACCTACATGTATGTATGTGTATCACATGCATGCTTGGTGCCTAAGGAGTCGAGAAGTGGGTACTAAATCCCTTGGAAGTGAAGTTTCAGGTTGTTAGCCACCATGTAGTGCTGGGAACCAAACACAGATTCTTGACAAATGCTCTTAACTGAACCATCTCTCCAGCCCCGTCTCAGTGTTTCCAACTACATCAACCACATCAAGCTGAGAGGGTCCAGCACAGCCATGCTCAGCTTTGAGTCTCCTAGGTGCTCTTTCCTCGTCTTCTATTTCATTCCTTTACTAAGTGTTTATTGAAGTACCATAGTCCTGTGGCATTTCAATCAATGTTAATTTTAGTGGAAATGGAATGGAAATCAAAATGTCCACCATCTCAGTGGTGTCAGTACAAAGACAGCAGCGTGGGTCAAGGCCCTCCTTCTCAAGGACCTCAGACTCTTCACTCAGTACTTTTTATCAGCCAAAGTCCATAAGTACATCTCCTATTTATTGAAAGATGACTTTTCTTCCACCTGGGTTTCTATTCCTTCTTAAAGCAATGACCGTTATACAAAATTTAAATGAACACCATCTGTAAGAATAAGAGATACCTCCAGATTCTTAACTAGCAAGTGGTGCTTTCTAATAATGACTGCCTGTAGCTGTCAGATTAATACAGGGATTAGCTGAATGGAGTTGAAGGCTTACAGAATGACAATATTGACTAATAAGCTACCTTTGGAAATCACAAGTCTGGGAACTTTGGGAATATAATATTGAGTACTGTTTACCTCTTTAACTTATTTGGTTTGTTTTTACTTTCTTAAAAGACACAAAATGAGCATTCCTTAAAGAATACATGAGTACGTTCCTTATGTTTGTGCAAAGCAACTCAATCCCATTAAACTACTAACTGATTTGAGCTTAATACAAAAGCTCATCTTAGTGATAGTATGGCATATCTGTTTATGTGGAGAACCAGGAAAAATAACTCAGATATTGATTACACTGATGCTCCATATGAACTGGGTTTGGTCTGTAAGTATATTTTCTCCTACTCTATTCAGAGTATTCCCCATTAGAACTTGTGCATGCATTCAATTATAGTTTCGTTGAGAAGTGTAAACTCTGTTCACGTATTCTGTCAATAATACATATTAATAATTATCTTCAAGGAAAGGGCCCATGCTAGAGAAATCACTAGGTTAAGAACTGTAGTCTTCCTGTCGCTTCCTTCTCAGCACTGACTAACCCAAGTTCCAGTTGTGGAGTGTCACTGACTCAGTTGCAGGCTTTTAATGCCTAGGGAGTGTAGCCCCAAGGACAATAGATACCTGATAAACCACATTGCCAACAGGCATGCCAGGCATATGGTCTGAGCACAGCAACCTAAATTCTATTCCTTGTTTCCATGGATTCAGACACTCCCCTAGTTTGAATGAAAAAGAGGCTCTGTGCAAGCCTACTCTTTATTCAGGGTGGCCTTTTGTAATAGGTCCAGTGGACATGGGAGTAAGCATTTGGAGCCCAAAATATGGGTTTTAGTAAAAGTGTGTAGGATTGTAACAGCTGTGGCATTGTAGAGATGGCTCAAGAAATGGATAGGACCAAATGGGGAATGTTAGATGTTTGAAGTTTTACTCCACATAACTTTTCTTCCACCTGGGTTTGAATTCCTTCTTAAAACAATGGCCGTTATACAAAATTTAAATGGACACCATCTGTGAGAATAAGAGAAACCTCCAGACTCTCAACTAGCAAGTGATGGTTTCTTTTAATAATGACTGCCTGTGGCTCTCAGATTAATAGAGGGATTGGCTGAATGGAATATAGCTGTAGACATAATCTCATCTGTAGATTCTGGACTGACAATGTTTCATAGTTCAAGCAGGGACCCAGGTGCAGGCAATATGTATTTTTACCTCTCTCTGTTTTTGTATTTTTTTATAAGTCTAGATGGATAGTCTACTCTGTTTCTGAAACATTACTTTAAAAAAAATCTATTTAGTAGTATTAGAGATTGGGGATAGGGCCTTATACATGTTAAGAAAATGCTCTACCACTGAATCATGTCCATGCATCTTTTCTTATGTTGATTTTTTGGACAGTATTGAGGTTTCCTGGCATGGCATTGAACTCACTTACTAGTTCAGGAAATTCTTGAACTTGGAATCTTCCCTTAGCTTCCCAAGTTGCTGGCATTATAGGCCTATGCCTCTCTTCCAAATAGGTTTTGATTGGCTCCATGTGTAGTCAAATCACCTTCAAAACTAAAGATCTTTTTTTTTTTAATCAAAATGCCTTTTTTTTCCTCCATTTTTCTTAGACCCCCTAAGGTTGTCATCTAGTTCATCTATTTCATATGTGCTTTTTATATTTTTCATATCCATGCATATGTGTTGCTTGTGTGTGTGTATATCCATGTTTGTGTGTGTACAGCATGCACGTGGTGCTGGGCATGCATAGGGAGTCCCAAGGATGCAAGGATGGAGAGGCTAGAGGTTTATGTTCAAAGCATCTTCTTTTGCTCTTCTACTTTATTCTCTGAGGTGGAGTGTCTCAGTCAAACCCAGAGGCCACCACCAAGGCTAGTCTTGCTGGCTGAATTACTGCGGGGCTCCATTGTCTCCACCTTCTCAAGCTGGAATTATAGACAGGCCACCACACCCATTTGGCATTTATTTGGGCTCTGGATATCTGAACTCAGGTCCTCATAGTTGCATGGCAAGTGTGCAGTCACTGAGTGAGCTCCTCAGCCCTGCATATGAGTTTTTAAAGAGCATCTTTAGTGTCTGATTTATTCACTGTCACCTGTCTCTTTGCAAAAGAGATGGTTTACATCATGCACAAAATGACATTCTGTCCTGCCTCTTCCTGACATGAATCAACGAAACAATCCAATTCTGGGAGAATATGAGAACTCATAATGGGGCACCTTAGCAAATGAAGTTCTTATATTGCCTTGCCTTGGTAACAGAGTCCTAAGAATGGAATCTTGAAGTCTTTCTTGGTCAGGAGTTGGTTATACTCTACTTTCTTAAATATCAAATTTTGTGTAAAATTTTGTTTATACCTATTTAAGTTTGGTCTAAAAGTTTCTGTCTTTAGCCAACTGCAGCATAACTTGATGGGCAAAGATACTTTTCTCTCTTGCTTCAACAAGCAGCAGAGTCTCAGTGAGTTATAGTGGCTCCTGTCCTAAGGAGAGTTCAGACAGCATACATGAGCTGCCACCAGCCAGGGTAGCTCTGAGTTCTGTTTTTCCCGTCACTTTATTTCTGTGCCTCTACGTATAACTTGCCACGTAATAGGTGAATCACTCTGAACCCATTCTGGTTCTGGGGTGGTTTAATTTGTGAATGGTCTTTGATAGATTTAATGTCTAAAGCCTTTAACTTAACAGGTGGGACCCACTTCTTTGGGCCAAGGGTGGGCTCTGGCACTATCCAGCCTGTTGTAAGAGGATTGGCTTTGATGCATTTACCACTTTCCCTATTTCTTTGGCTGTCAGGGACCACAGGGAATGTATTGTCCTTCAGTGAAACAAGAGCACATCAAGTGGTTCAGCAAAAGTCAGAGCAGTTCATGATCTACAACCAAAAACAGCTCACAAGGATTTACCCTTCTGCCTACCGCATTGATTCCAGTAACTTCAACCCTCTGCCCTACTGGAATGCAGGCTGCCAGCTAGGTGTGTATGACCCGAGAGGAGCAGTGCTCTGCCTTCTCTCTCTACCTTGCCAATTGTGAGTTCTTTCTAATCCTCTCAAATGGTCAATTTTCACAGTGGCTCTGAACTACCAATCTGAAGGGCGAATGATGCAGATAAATCGAGCAAAATTCAAGGCAAATGGAAACTGTGGCTACATTCTCAAGCCCCAGCAAATGTGCAAAGGTAAGTACCAGTTTCATAGCTGCATCTGTGATAAACAGCAGATGAAGCCCCACTATGTACATGTTTACATTTATTTATTATTATTATTATTATTATTAATGTGGGCATGTATACTTATATGTATGTAAGTAGAAGTCATAGGGCAAATTTATGGAGTCTTTTTATCTCCTTCCACCTGGGAAGAGCCCCAGGGATGGGCTCAGGTCATCAGGCTTCACGACAAGAACATTAGCCACTGAGTTAGAAAATAAAGTGTATGCTTAGATTTTTATAAACCTATTTTATTTAGGGTTCTTAAATACATCAACCTCCCTTCTACCCTACCGACTACAAGTAGGGGAGAAAGAAGGTTAATGGAAAAGGGTCTGTGGACCTGGTAAGTAGTTTTGGGGGGGGGGTGTGTTTGTTGTCAAGATACCAGCAGTCCAGTACAATAGCAAACACCAAACACGAATCAGTAGCAGTAGCTTGGTCCAGCAGAAACCAAAAGGCTTTGCCAAATTGGCAAGAGTAAGCAGAAGTGGCAAGAGTCAGCCAGAATACCACAAGAAGTCCTTTGACGTGTTTCTTTCTATGAAGTGAAGCCCAGTATAGCCCAGCAATGGAAGAGCATCTTCTCACTGTTCATGGGGTTCCATTTATACTCTTTCCAAACATCACATGCTCTCTCAAGCATCAGCTCCTGTAAAACATCACATGACATCTCACAAACCTGTTTCAGCAAAACATCTTCTCACATGTCTGCCTTAGCAAAAGACCACATGCCCTCTCACGAGACTCCCACAAAAAACATCACATGACACAACTGAGTCTGCAAAGAAACTGGAAATTTCCACTTCAATAAAGTTTCTCTTCTTTACTTAATTTCAAGTTTTCTTTCTGTTCCTTGTATTGTTTTTTCTAGACCCAAGATAGCTTAGCAAATTATTGGAATCTGATATAACTGTCCTCCTTGATGCCACAGGCATTCAAACAAATTATTTATTTGTGTCACAATAAACAATTATTTAACTGTGTCACAATTGCATCATAGACATTTGCTTTATAGTAGCCCATCTCCTGACTTTTTGGCACAGAGAATAATGAAACCACAGCTCTGGAAGCACCTGCTGCTGCTGCTTCTGCAGAACGTGACATTGATGATTACATAAGAGTTTCTTCGTTCTAGCAAACACTGGAATAACTGATGCTGTTAGTCCTCTGTTTGAGAAGCTTAAGCTGTGTGGGTGCTTGTATGGTTATGTATGTGACTGTGTATATATGTATATGTATTCCTATGCTACTGACCTCTCCTTTTACTTGATGTAGGTACATTCAATCCTTTCTCTGGTGACCCACTTCCTGCCAACCCCAAAAAACAGCTCATACTGAAAGTGATCAGTGGACAGCAACTCCCCAAACCCCCTGACTCTATGTTTGGAGACCGAGGCGAGGTAAGCTACACCTGACTGCCCAATTAGTTAATTTCAAGATGATTTGATTGTGTTTAAGCCATCATCTCACTGCTTCTTGGTGTTATGGGTACAGATGTTTTGTGTGGGGGAGGAGCGGTGGGGAGTTTATAAGTGAGCACTGACCTCCACTAATCAGGCCTGAGCTGATTTTGTGATAGTCTCACATAGTTCTTGTCTCTACGTATTACCTGTTCTGCAGTCTTGAGGGCGTGATCCTAGTGCACAGGTCAAGAGTCGTGCTAGCAGTGCCAATGTCAAGATGTAAAGAACAAAGGCTAAGGTCATTATTGACAGAAACGTGGCCAAAAGCATACTTCCAAATCCCACATATCCAGTAGCCTTCCTCACTGATGCCTACTCTTTGGCTTCATGCTTTCTGGCCACATGTTACTGTCACCAGCTGCTGTCTCCTTGTTGCAGGACACGGTAGCCCTTTGTTTTCTTCCTATGGACAGCCTTGTCTCAATGTGCTGCTCTCAAGGCTGACCCATCGCTCCACATTCTCAACACTCTTGGATCTTGTGGGTTGGGGCCACACAGCTCCGAATGTTCACACCACTGTGAATACTTCATCTGCACTGTGTGCAGTACTGTGTGGTGCAGTATTGTAGTACACACACTTCACCTTCCTGGCCTCATCCCATTCTTCATATTGGCTCTCTCCAACCTCTCTGCACTTTTTGACAGATAGCACAGCGCCCTACTTCTCAGACAGGAAAGTATCAAACAGGATCATTGCCTCCATGTCTGCTGCACCGTCTTCCACAGGCTCATCACTGTTTTCCTTTCCTGCTTTTACCGCCTGCTTTCTGTTCAACAGGAGGAGTAGTTAATTGGTATAACCAGCAAGTTCATGCTTACTTCTTTATGTCTAAAGAAAGAAATATACATTTCCTATATCTCTCAAGCTTTTCATTTTAAGAAGTCTTTAGGTCCAGAAAAGTTGTAAGAACAATACAATGAATTTTTCTCCTCAATTCACTAATTGAATTAGTAAATTTTATAACACATGCTGTGCTGTGCCCCCATATATACGTATCTTATAAGTATGTTGGGGGATATTTGTTTGCTTTCCTTCATAGTCATTTGTGATTACCTCACTGCTTGCTGATCAAAAACAAAGGCGTTCTCCTTTAAAACTATAACAAAATGCAATATTGTCTAGTATAACACATATAATCCAATCTTTTCATAGTATCCTAAATTGTCCTATTTTTTTTCTTTTTCAACTGAATCACATACAATTTTTATTGCCATTTTTTCTTTAGTTGTCAGAGATAAAAAATAATTCTCTAAAATCAAATTAATTTTATGACATTGGCATAATGTAGCCCTCCTCCTAATGATAGACATTTAAATTGCTTCCAGTGTTTGACCACTGTGATTGCAACTTGTCTGAGCTTTTGTGCATGGCTGAACTTTAGTTGGGTATGCTCCCTGAACTGAAATTGTAGGTTCTTTGAGTGAGAGTTTGGGTAGCATTAGCAAATACTGGCAAAGAGAATTTAATGTTTAAATGCCACCCTTCACTCATATATCTAAATGTGCCATACCTGGACCTATAATTTCGTTTAGTACGTATGTAGTAAAAATCAAGTGTTACTGAAGTGTGAATATTTGACTAGTTTGTTCTCAGAGTAATTAACACTTGGATGCATGTGATACTGGCAATAACATTTCCTCTTTTTAAAATACAGATCATTGACCCTTTTGTTGAAGTTGAAATTATTGGGCTGCCAGTAGACTGTTGCAAGGACCAAACTCGAGTGGTGGATGACAATGGTAAGGTGGCAGTCAGTATACATCCCCGAGAAGGTGTGCACTACCCCCACCCCTTTGAGGAGGTGAGCTTCAGTATGCACCCCTGAGGAGGTGCACTGCAGCTGCAGTGTGGACTGATAGGGTCAAGTGTAATGTTTAGAAGAGTAAGATGGCTGAGAGAGATAGCTGCCATCCGAATGTATGTTAAACACATTGATTAAAAACTCAGTCGCTCTCTAAGTTTCTAGTTCTCTTCTCAAAGAGGAAAGTAAGTGCTACCAAACATATGTACTCAGAAGGAGTCAACCACTTTGCTCTATAAAAAGCCTCAAGCTCATGAAATAATGACAGACTGAAAATCAGAGAGTCGCCTGGTGAACAAAGGAGATTCTCTTTTCTGTTGACTTTGTAATGAGCTTTCAGTGACTTATGCAACTAAGAAAGAAAGGCTATCCAGAAAAATATGCTAGACTTGGATCTCACCACCACTGAAATGCTGGCCCCTCACCATATTTAAGTAATGAATGTGCCAGGGCATTCTGGCCCAATCTTTATATGTTTTTAATGCTTAAATAAACAAAAAAATCAAATATCGACAAGATCAAAAGCCGCTGAACTTAACAACTGATAGACTAGGATTGTCTATTTTGATGACGTTATTATGATCAAGACTCCTGGGACTCTTTCTAAGTCTTTCTATTGAAAGGTCTGCATGATATCTTAAAGACCTGGGCTCATAACTCACATAGGAGAATACTTCCTAGTGTGTTACTTATAATGTGAGGTGTGTGTTTTCCTAAATAAGTCTCCTCAAAGCTTGCATTTGTGAAGTCAACATGTTTAATCAGTTCTTCTTGGCTTTTGGTTGTGGGGCTGTGGCTCATGCATGGGTGTGGGTCCTGTTGGGCTGAGTTGTGGGTCCCACATGTCTGCCGCCCCAGGCGGCTCAGGTGGGCAGAAGCACGGGAATTTGACTGAGTTCACTCCATGAGGTTCTGGGTGGATGCCGGGCTAGGGGAAGTCACTGAGTTCCACTCTGGGTGTAGGGAGATCCCAGTCTGAGATCCCGCAGGGGCAGAGCTCTTGGATTGGGGGTTTCTGGGCTGAGGTGGCCAACCAGAGACCATCTGGTCTTAGCCCTTGGGCACCCAGGTGCCAGTGGGAGAGCACAGAAGGACTGAGATGGGGGCATATGGGCTCGACTGGCCCGCAGCTGAGAGGGACGAGGGATAGAAGCTTTATCGGTGCCCCACAGGGTGTATGACTCTCTTGGTTGAGACCACTTGCTTGGCTGGGTCATGGCTGGCTCGGCTAGCTTGCTTGAGTTGACAGCCTCCGTGGCTAGAACATGGAGGTCCTCCAGCAGGAGATTTGGTGGTGGCTTGGTAGTTGAAGAACATCTCTACAGTCCCCCACGGAGAGCCCCAAGTACTAGAGGAAGTCCATTGTTTTAAAAAGTTTATTGTCATGGCAGCAAGTGGATGAAGCTGTACCCCATGTTCTCAGGGTGGACCTGAGGTTAAATATCTTTTGCAAGGAGGGGGGGTCTGAGAAGGAATGCTTAATTGGGTATGCCCCCTGGCCTTTAGGTATCTCATTAATATGGAGATCTCTTGAGGCTCTTGGGCCTGTAATCATGCCCTCTACCTGTGCTATGTGACTGAAGGCAACAAAGCTGTCTTTGGGAGGAGCTGTGGATGGCTGAAGCTAAGTGAAAGGAACCAGGGTCCAAGAGCAAGGCTGAACTTCTACTGTCCCATTAGAGTATCCGGGGTTCTAGACCTGCACTCAACCAAGTACCCAGCTGCCTTTCACAGCCCACTGCCCCACATTTGTTCTTGTTGCTGTTTGCCTTTCTGAGCATGAAAATTTCTAGAGTTTAGGCCAGAATGTTATGGCACATTCATTTGTTAAATATGGTGAGGGGCCAGTATTTCAACAGTGGCAGGAAGGCACTGCCTTTACTTAAGTCTAGCATATTTTTCTGGATAATCTTATAAAATTATATTTGTGTGTCCTATATATGACAGGTATTATTTCATACATATTTTCTTAATTTAGGATAATGAATATTCTAAAATAATTGGAAGTCGTGGTATCAGAACGTTAGAAAAATCAGTGGCTTAAAGGGAGACCTTGAAGAAATGTTAGTTGTTCAAAAGTGGGGTGAACCTGTGAGGAAATAATAGTCTTAAAAATAAAGATTTATTTATTATGTATACAGAGTTCTGCCTGCATGTATACTTGCACACCAGAAGAGGGCATCAGACCTCAGTACAGATAGTTGTGAGCCACCATATGGTTGCTGGGAATTGAACTCAGTACTTCTGGAAGAACAACCAGTACTCTTAACAACTGAGCCATCTCTCTAGCCCCAGGATATGACATTCTTAAAGAAGTCCTTCCTATGTTGGGTTTTCTCAGGGCTTAAGAAATTATTCCTTCCTTTCTTAGTAGCAAAAGTCACTGAGATCTCATTACAAAGTCAACAGAAAAGAGAATCTCCTTTGTTCACCAGGAGACTTTGATGTTCAGTCTGTCATTATTTCATGACCTTGAGGCTTTTTATAGAGCAAAGTGGTTGACTCCTCCTGAGTGCCTATGTTTGATAGAACTTACTTTCATTTTTCAGAAAAAACCTTTCAGAATGGTAGACTTTTTAGCAGTTTTTGTAATTATTTTGTCCAAGAAAATTTCATCAAGAAGTAAATGTCTTTTGTCTTTTTGTATTTAACCTCACCGCGTTTGCCATTATTTTAATAGTACTTGAGGGGAGTCATTATGAAGGAAATAGGTTTATAAAAAGATCTCATGATTTTGGAGGCTGGAGGTCTAACCCACGGGGCCTTGGCTTTTGTTGGGGTTGCCCTGTCTAACTCCAATCGCGGCAGGTGGCATCATGTTAGGATTATGTGTAAAACTTCACATGGGAATTCAGGAACCTGAGGAACTTGGAAGTAGACGGGGTTGCTCTGTAGCAGCTCTGGTGAGAACTCACCAGGGTTTCGTAAGGAGCCATCAATACTTTCTGGGCATAGGATCACAACCTAACACTTGGCTCTACACCATAACATAGTCACAATGGGTGCGAAGACTGCCACTTATAATTACTAGGGGATAAACCACATGTGGACTATAGCAGTCTTTGAAACAAGCCATGTGCCTTCTCATTTATTTTCCATACGTGTGGAAATAAAGTTCTTGCTTCATGGAAGCCACTTATGCTGTAGCACACAGTCTAAGTTGGGACTCTTGCTCACTGTATGAGGTCAGACATACTTCTTTTAACAGCAATTCCCCAAACTATACAATCAGTTACAAATGCTTTTGGACTTTCAAAAATATAAGCATGTGTTGCTTGTACAAATTTGAAAAGTTCTAGTTTGAAACTTGATAAGGGGTGTATGCTTTTCTTACTTAGACAAAACAAGCTGGGTGTGGTGGCTCCTGTCCCAGCACATGGGAGGTGAAGCTGGGAGGATCGTGAGCTCAGAGCAAACCTGGACTACTGAATGAAACCCTATCTCAAAAAAACCAAAACAAAGAAAACCCACAAGCCCTTGACCTGCTACTCGAAAAATGTCTCTGTAGGAATTAAAAATGACTATGTACACCAGAGGATCGAAAGCTATAAGGCACCTTATGAATAGGAGGAGACCCTTTGGTAGCTGAGAAATACGATCCTATCAGGGGCAACTTTCTGTAACATTTCTGCTAAAATACTGTTAGAATACTAGGATACTACTATAATTTTTAAGCTTATTGAAGCATTTTAATGACTATTAAGAAGCTTCCTGATACAATGGAGCTTCTGGGATTAATAAAATTGATGTGATAATTTACAGACAGCTTTTACTACCAATTATTTTCTAACAGTGGGGTAAACTCCGAGGCTTTATTTCAGCTGGACATCCTGGAGAGGTTCAGGCATCTTCATGAGTTTAATAAACATTGCAAACAATTTTCACTGTCTGCTCTATAGACTTTGTAGCTAAATCATTTCCAGCCAAGCCCTTTGCTTTTTCTGTTTTTTTTCCCCATTTCTCTAAGGATTTAACCCTGTGTGGGAAGAAACCCTAACTTTTACAGTTCACATGCCAGAAATAGCTTTGGTTCGGTTTCTTGTGTGGGATCATGATCCTATCGGAAGAGACTTTGTCGGACAAAGGACTGTGACTTTCAGCAGCCTAGTACCTGGTAGGTACAAGCTAGCCTTTTATCTCTAAATTGACTATTCTGTCTGTCTGTTTTCTACTGTGAGGGAGGAGTATCTAGGTTCTAGCATATGCTCAGTTAATCTTTTATTTTTGGAAGATTTAATATATGACCTGGGGCAAACAGGATATTCATCAAATTCATTATGAAATTAAATTGTGTGTTATAGAACAGATGTGATATAACATGATGCATAAAATGTAAAGGATGATAGTTAAGACAGATGCTTGCACTCTCTGGAAAGCCAAATACGAATTCAACTGAAAGAACCTGTTCTTTTTGCTTTTACAGGCTACCGGCATGTCTACCTGGAAGGACTCACGGAAGCATCTATTTTCGTTCACATAACAATCAATGAAATCTTTGGAAAGGTGAGAAAGATCATAGGCATACCACAACAGTATAGACCTCAAGGAAGTTACTGATTCCATAAAAGAAATGTACATATTAAAGAAATGTACATATGACAAAGTGTTCTTTTGTGGGTGTCTGTCAGCAAGCTCAGGTATCCTTCCAGTCATGTCCACCCATGTTTCTCTGTCTATTCAGGGGTGTGTTCATTCCTCCTTGCTAGGGGTGCTCTCTACGTTTAATAGAATTCAGAAGCTTGTCACACTTTCAGGAGATCATTTTGATGACAAGAATGAATACCATTAAAAATTGAATTTTATTGTAATTCTTAAAAAGGTGTACTTTCTACAGAAGGAAATGTGGTATCTCAGAGGTTTGATGAATGGCCTATGTTAATCTAGCTATGATCCTAGCCATGTCTAGGCAGGAAGCATTCATATGGAACAATTATAAATTGAAAAACCATTAATAAAGTGTGAATGGATTTAAAAGTGCCTAAAGAAGAAATTGAGAGAGGAAAAAAGGAGAGACATAGGGGAGTTAGGCTGAAAGGAAGAAGATAAGGGATGTGGGAAGAGAGAGGGAGAAGGAGATAGGGAAAGTGAAATTGGAAGGAAGGGAGACACAATATCACAAACAGGTGTCTAGTTCTGCCTAGAGGGGGATGGTGCTTTGTACACCCACGGGTGGTCCTCTGGTCATGCCAAGTGGTGGAGACTCGGGCCCTGCTCTGGATTATCAGGACTAGGTGTGGCTTGGAGGGATTGTAGAATGAGACGGTGCCCAGATTGTCCCATGTTGCTTGATACCATGGTCTGTGCTGCCTTGCTTGAGCTTCTCCAGAGTATTGGCGTTCTCTCTGAATTCACTCTTCATGTGTAACTGTGAGGTAAAAATAGTACCTGCTTCAAAAATACGTTTGCTATTCTCTGAAAGTTGCCTGGCATGGAGTAAATGAACATAGCTTCGGCTAATTTCGGTATTGCTGGGACCACCCACTGGGACTCGGGCTGGGAGTGTAGGCTTAGCCTCCTATCAGTCAGCAGAAGGGAACAAATGGTTTCTATTTCTGAGTATGCTGAATGTAAAGCCTTGCACACTTGAGTTCCTATTTACACAGCTTGTTGGGCTCTTTCTGTTAACCTAAACAGAGACATATGTAAATGATTTGAAGATAAGGCCTGGATACTAGAAAGTCCAGTACAACTATATAATGTCTCGAACTCTCATCAGAGTGGTGGAAAACCAGGATTTTTTAAAAAAAAACTTAGCCCAGAAATAAAATACAAATATTCTATATAATTTTTGTTTCATTCCTAAATAAATGACCAATTTTGAGTCATTTATCATGTTCAGCGTATGTATGGGTTGGAATGCTCATACTATAAAGTGCTGGTGTTGGGTTGAACAAGGAATGAACAGAAAAGAAAATTATAAGAAGTGGGAAGAAGAGTTTATACAGGTACTCACATTTTCTTTTTTGTTTACTGGTACAGCCTATTTGAATGAGCCCAAACTGTGTTCTCTTGTGTTTTTCTTTTCTCCCCTGCAGTGGAGTCCTTTAATCCTCAACCCCAGTTATACCATATTGCACTTTCTAGGAGCTACAAAGGTAGTTTCTCAGCATGGCCCTGCACTCTCAATAGCGTGTTCTTTTTAAATGACTGTGGTGGCATGCCTCCTCACATCTTCCCATCCTCTGCTTCCCATGAAACACACATTCGTTGCTTCAAGCTGCTGAAGTCTTATCCGTTTGTTACCCATAGAAGCATCTCTACCATATTATTATCTCTGGGTAGGAGCATTCTGGAAACGTTGGCCATGAAATTGAAAGACTGCCTTCCTCCTATAATAAAGCTGATGAGATGTGTGCATGTATGGACCCACTGTGAGCTGCTTTCTTATTTTAAACATCCTTCAATCAATGGCTATAAAATTTCACCTCATGTTCATTCTTCATGGAGCAGTCATTTTAAAGACAATATTTTCTCAGGATGACATGTTCTTAACTTGTGGTTGGTCCTTTTGTGTCCTCAGAACAGACAGCTCCAAGGCCTGAAAGGGCTGTTCAATAAGAATCCCAGGCACAGTTCTTCAGAAAACAACTCGCATTATATTCGGAAGCGATCAATTGGAGATAGAATTCTGCGACGTACAGCCAGTGCGCCAGCCAAAGGCAGGAAAAAGAGCAAAGTGGGCTTCCAAGAAATGGTTGAGATAAAAGATTCTGTCTCTGAGGCTGCAAGAGATCAAGATGGTGTCCTGAGGAGGACCACACGGAGCCTGCAAGTGCGTCCTGTGTCTATGCCTGTTGACAAGAGTCTTCTGGGGGCTTTGTCACTGCCAATATCTGAAGCAGCAGCAAAAGACATGGATGGAAAAGAAAACCATCTGGGTAAGGTGCTTTCAGGTTCTCTAAGCTGCATTTTTTGTCCCCTGTTTCTATTATGACAGTGCTATCATTCTGCAATTAAAATATCTGAAAAGTTAATAATTCTATGCAGGAAGATTTTAATTCTTGGGTAAGAGAGTAGAAAAATGGCCTTACTATTTCTATCTGTAGGAAAGAACACCAGGTAGAATAGCTTAGAACATACCAGTCTGAGAGGGAGGGGGAAACTACAAAATATAAACAGTGTTATTTTTCTGAGTGGTAGCATATTTAGAACAAGAACAAGGGGTCAAGAAAGAGGTATCATACTGAGTTTGTCCTCAGGGTTGAATGGGCTTTTCTGGCATTGAATGCAGCTGCATTACTTTTCATTATTAAACGCATTTGTGGTTGAAAATGTTTATGTTGAACGGACACTGTTTAAAGCCAGTCATCACCTGTCTTACTTGGATATTTTTTCTCTTCTTAGGGTATGGTTGAGGCACCCTGCTCTGGATGGTGTCAGGGGAGGAGGCATGCCCAAGGCCATTGCTTGCTTGTAGGCTTTACAAGTGTAGGAATTAGGAGCCATTTTTTTCCCCAACTTGGAATATGATGGACTCATTCGAGCAACTTGATGATGAGAATGACCGCTTTACAAAGTGACACAGAGCTGTTTAATTTGTTTCTCTGACTCCTTTTCCTATTCCAAAACTGTCTATTGACTATCTCTGGAATTATCTCAAACACACAGAGTGTGATACTTTGTTTTTGCATTTTAGCAAAATTAGTCTTCATCCAAACAATGTAACTTCAGCGACTTGTTTTTCCACAAATGCTCTTTTGCTTGTATTGGTTCTTATTGTGAGGTATTCTAGTGAGAATAGAAAAGCCAATTCTTGAATACTTTATTAGAAAAGGAGGAACCAAGCTTGAAATTTTCCTAGTTTGCATGGCCCTGGAGTCCATCTAGCACTGGGAAAATGTTTGAAATTTTGCTAAGTGTAATGTCAGAGAAGAGGGGATATTTGTGGCTTTAAATTTATTTTAAAAAGCCGTTTCAGAAAAGTCAAGTTCAGTAGAGGTCTATACTAACTAGTCTGCTAGCTGCAAAAGATGCTGAGCCTGGAGGAAGAGCTGAGAAGCAGGAGAAAGAAAGTGCTTCTTTCCTACATTTAAAAAGATATAAGGACTAATCACATGCATTAAACTTACAGCAAATATGGAATGATATGCAGCCATTGCACTGATCCCAGATACATTGAGAAAAAAAATCAGAATACAAAGTTCTAAATAGCCTGTCTCTACAAAAGTATCTACTTCTGAAAATGATGTCATGGAATAGTTAATGGTTTACAATTTGGGAAACTTAATTTTCTTAGATGATGAATAAAATTTTATGACTTTGGAAGAGTTAAAGGACAAATAATCAGATAAAAAATAATTGAACACTGAGCATTGTCTCAGTGCACACCAAAGGGATGCAGTATTCTAGCTCACTGTGAACTGTATGCTTTTGCAGTTTTCCTTATTTAACATCTCACTACCACCTTGGAGGGGAATGGGGGAAGAATGCAACATACAGTTTTGTACTGAAGTAAAGAATATTATCAAGAGAGTATTAAATATCAGTACTGATTTGGAATTGATGACCGGTTGTCCCTTTACTTTAAGTAAATAGATATGAATAGTTTTGTGCACATATTGTACTTTCCAAATTGTGTTAGAAATTAATTGGTTAAACAGTTTTCGAAAATGTCTTTTAAAAATTCTATCCTTTGTGGTTCACCTGTTGCTAATACATGTGTAACTTTGAAAGCTGCTAGTGTCTTGTTTGCAGGTGCCGTAGTGCCTTGTTTAACAGAGCTGTCTTGTTCTGTTTTTGTTGCCATGCTTCTGTGTAGTACAGATCTGAATAGGAAGCAGCGTAAGGTAATCCTCACCTTGAAAGCATAGTAACTCATTGACATTATCTGGACAATGAATATTACATCCTCAGCCGATGTAATAGACATTCAAAAGGAAGCTCAGTGAAGTTCCTGTAAATATATTTCACCATTTATCCATCACACAGACACTGTGTTGCAAACTTCTGCTTATCCATAATTATATTCTGTCACAATGTAAAACAGATTTACATTTTCCATTTGTCTGTGTCAAGACAAACATGACTGTCCCAGGGCCTACAAAAAGGGATACACTTTACCTAAAATGCTGTTTTCTTTATTTAGCAGAGGACAAGGATGACAGAAGAAAGGGGGCACCATCTATAAAAGACCCACATTTTCCAAATTTCAACAAAAAGTTATCCTCCTCCTCCAGTGCACTCCTCCACAAAGATGCCAACCAAGGGCCAACTGCCAGTATATCAAACCCAGAACAGTGTGGAGGACCCGGTGCGAAGAGTGGGAGGATCAAACCAAATATGACAAATGATTGCCAGGAAAATCACAGTCCCCAAAAACTCCTCTCTCCAAGGAAACATTTGGCGCTTGATCCTCCAACAAAGGGACTGCAAGATCTGCATGGAATGAGAACCAATGAAAATGAGCATGCCGAGAGCTCAGCGGGAGGGAAAAGCGCGATGTCCAGAAGCGTTCTTTCTCAAAGTTCTCTGGAGGTGGAGAATCTGGAAGGTAGCCGAGCCAAGGGCAGAGCTGCAACGTCCTTTTCTCTCTCCGACGTCTCCGCGCTCTGTTCTGACATCCCTGATTTACATTCAACTGCGCTTCTACAGGACACTGACATTTCCAATCTCATTGATGACGTGACTTTAACAAATGAGAATCAGTCGGGCAGTTCCATCTCAGCACTGATTGGCCAGTTTGAAGAGAGCAACCACCCGGCTAACGTTACTGTGGTTTCTCATCTCCTTAGCACCAGTGGGACCTCAGGAGGTGCCCCTCTGCCGATCACACTGGGCCTCCAAACACCCTTTAAGCATGGTTTTTCCCAGGGGAAACACAAGACCTCCTTCTTGTGCTCATCTCCTGAGCTGAACAAGCTCTCTAGTGCTGAAACCACTAAACTGACAAATAACATAGTTGCTTGTGGAGCAATTGGCTCTCACATCTCTACACCAAAGCCAGGTGATGACCCTTCTGATAAAACAAAGACAAGGGTCATGGAAGGCAACCTGCATGGGTCCCCTGATGCTTCTCCTGGTCAGTTTCCCAAAAGCCCCACCCATGAAGAGAACCAAAGGCAAATGATGAACAGCTCTGCTCTCTCCATGGAGTTGGCCATGGAAGATATAATTGCAGACCCCATTCTCTGTATAAATTCTGCAGAGAGCAGTCTTGTGGAAATTGATGGAGAATCTGAAAACCTGTCTCTAGCAACCTGTGACTATGGGGGAGACGCTCCGAATCAACTTGTTTCTCCACTAAAACTACAGCAGAGCCAGGAGATGGTGGAACACATCCAGAGAGGCCTGAGGAACGGCTACTGTAAAGAGACTCTCCTCCCTTCTGAAATATTCAACAGTATTCCAGGTGTCAAAAATCACGGTATTTCTCATCTAACCTATCAGGGTGCTGGCTTTGTGTATAACCATTTCTCAAGTTCAGATGCAAAAACGAACCAAATCTATGGGTCCCAGCAGCCTAGGGCTCCAGATATGCATGCCCCTCCACCCACACAGTCAGCACATGCTCCTTTGGCTGCTTTGAAACTCCCAAGTCCATGCAAATCCAAAAGTCTAGGGGACTTAACATCAGAGGACATTGCCTGCAATTTTGAAAGCAAGTACCAATGTATTAGTAGGAGTTTTGTGACAAATGACATTAGAGACAAGAACGTGACTATGAAGACAAAGTCACTAGAGCCTTTAGATGCCCTAACCGAACAGCTCCGGAAGCTGGTATCCTTTGACCAAGAAGACAGCTGTCAAGTGCTATACTCAAAGCAGGATGTCAATCAGTGCCCCAGGGCATTAGTCAGAAAGTTGTCATCTAGAAGTCAGAGCAGAGTGCGCAACATTGCTAGCCGTGCCAAGGAGAAGCAGGAAGCTGGCAAGCAAAAAGCTATGACCCAGAGCACCAGAGGAGGAGTGGTCCTTAGAAGTAAACCGCCAGCCCCTGCTCTGGCTGTGAACCGTCACTCCACGGGCTCATACATTGCAAGCTACCTGAGGAACATGAAAGCTGGTGGCCTAGAGGGTCGAGGCATCCCAGAGGGAGCGTGCACGGCCCTTCGCTATGGCTACATGGACCAGTTTTGTTCGGATAATTCAGTTCTGCAGACTGAACCAAGCAGTGAAGATAAACCCGAAATTTATTTTCTTTTGAGGCTTTGAATTATATAAAGCTGCATTTTCATGGTTTACATGATATTCTATAGGATGTTAGATTTTTTTTCCATTGTCAGTAAATGTGATACTGGGCTTTGAAATGATTTCCAAATGTATTTTTAAACTTGTATTTTGGTCTCCCATTGACTCATGCATTTGTATATAGATTCTGTGACACTTCCCGGGAACCCATGATCTTTCCCCCAAGGTATTGTAAACTGTGTCAGTATGAAATTCGTGCATGCCCTCCATATGAAACTTCTCAGCAGCTTGGGTCACAGTGTGCATATGTTGCACAGAAATGTTTTTCCCGTGTCCTCCGATCACAGTCCCGGAGGCTGTCACCGTTACTCACTAAGTGTTGAGCTGACTTAAGATTAAACTTTGAAAACCATAAAGGGATGGATTCTTTATTTGAAGCTACATTTTCCTTCTGAATTGAGACCCAGATTCAGTTTTATAATCCATTTAAAAGAGATGTTTTAAGTGGTTACATTGCCCTTTACGATTTCCACACGCCACCCAAAGTGGGAATTCCATGAAGATGGATAGCATCTCTCCAGCCCCCAAAGCCCCTTTAGACTAGGCTGTGAGGAAGAAAGCGAACTTATATATATAAGGACAAGTTAGTTTGTTTTGCAATAAATTTTGTTACATATTTTTGCTAATGGCTTTGTATGTAACGAGAATCCAATTGCCAAGCTATCTGTCATACATTAAGATTGAAAATAATGGCTTTCAGAATGAGAGACTTTCAGCTGGGTATGGTAGCTCACAACTTTAATCCCAGCAGAGGCAGATGAATTTGAGGCCAGCCTGATCTACACAGTAAGCTCCAGGCCAACAAGAACTACATACTAAGACCCTGTTTTAAGACAACAACAACAACAAAAAGATAGTAAGAGACTTACATTAGACTCAAAACCCAAAGTAGTACAAACAGAAACTTCCCCAAAGCATTCAAGAGAAAAAAAAAGAGTATTTTCTCATAATCCAAGTGAATAAATAGATAATTAAAAGAAACCTTTTCCCTTTAGGGAACCAAGTAACTATATTTTAGTACTGACATATATTATTTTCACTGTGAATCCATTTTTTATTGCATGTTCAGACGTCATTTGCTTTTTGTACCATGAATTACAATGATGTTCTTCCTGGACTTCATAAAAATATAATTAAAGTGGATTTTTGAACACTTGGTGATTTAGTTCATAAAATGGAAACAAAACCACAGCTGGAGCTTCTGTGATAACTGTTGAGTGAAGAGCGGGGAGTGCTTGGCTGTCTTCCTTTCTGTGTGCTTGTAGCAAAATTGTCAGGGATCGTTTTATACAGCAGTTTATATCTCTGAATATTATCATTATGTTGAAGAATACACTGACTTTTGGTTTTTAATTTTTATATATATAACATATATATACACTTTATATATGTGTATATATACATGCACATACATACTACATACACATATACACACACACACACATATATATATATATATATATATATATATATATATATATATATATATA